TGGCTTTAATTGCCCAATTCGTTTGAAATTTGCAGCAATCATAATCAAAGCAAATGTGGAATTGGTCCACTCGGTTCGCTTTGACATTCTGAACAGGCATTTAAATCGACGTGGACAGCACTTGCATTGATTGGGGAATGTGGACAACTGGCAAATGTATTATAATAAATGTCCTATGATTGTCACAGAGCTGTCAAATGTTAGCGAAATGTCAGTTACATGGCCGCTTGGCATCGATAGAGCTTCTAGCTGATCGTGGATCAGCGCCGCGATCGCTGATCAGTGATCGATGGTTGCTAGAAGCCAAATGGACACTTGACTGGGCACGAACGATTGATCTTATGACGGCCTTGACTTTCAAGCGACAGCCAGTGAAATGTCAGGCCAGCAAGTTAGATAAATAAAGAGAGAGAGAGAGAGAGAGAGAGGCAGAGACAGGGGGGGAGACAGTTGAATGACATGGAAACACAGGCAAGTACATAGATAAAGCCTGGGATTAGGTAACGAACACAAAAGTCAACAAAAACAAAGAGGCGAACAAGCAAAGTCGAGTCAAGTCAATCACTCGGACATGCCGAACAAATTGTGTACTTTAAACGGATCTATCCGGTTCGACAGGGACACGGACACAGAGCCAAACGCTGACCATATGTGGGTTCAATCAAAAGCACTCGGCAACAACAATCGATGCTCTCAAGGCTGAGCGATTCTAATTATCAGAGAACCCAACGAAAAACAACTGATAGAAATATGTATATACATACATATATGCTCGTATGTATGATATCGATATGAAAAATGAATACTTATCAAACACGACAAGCGAATAACAAACAAATTACCAACAATTGTTATTAAAATATGTTTTCATTAACGTTTAATTGAGCCGAGAGGCCGAGCTTGGAGCCAGCAGCCAGAAGGGGAGGGGGGCGAAGCACATACGATTTTTTGCTCATGCCATAAGCCAATGGCCAATGATTGTCAGCGTCGTCGAGTGTGATTGATTGATGTACGATAAGCGGCAGGGCAGCCAGCGACAGCTGAGATTGCGCAGCTCGGTTCATTGGAATCTAAGCCCCCCACATAAAACACACACAGTCAGAGACCCACAAGTAGAGTAGAGCTGCCTACCCCCATTGTTATTGCTGTGGCTATGGCGCACCCAAATTTGGTGATTCTAAGAGCAACAACAACCACACGTACAGCAGCTGCTGTTGCCGCCGTTGCTGCTGAGGCCACTTAAGCGCCCGCCGCTGCGATCAATTTGAGGCGATAAGATTAGAGGGCGGCCAAGCGAATTGTGTATGGAGCCAATTGAACGCCCACAGCGATCCCAAAATTTGCTACATAGAAGCATCGGACAATTTTTCAAAACAGCTATGCACAGTGGTGCAAGCTTATTGTTAAGTGTATACATCAATTCATAAATTAATTCATTATAGCAGTGTTCTACGTAAGTTGAAGGAGCAATAAATTAGTATTACTATGGATAAGGTTATATATATATATATATATACAATCTGATAAATCAGAAACTAGCTTCACGTGAGCTTAAGCTTAAATGAAAAAACAGAGCTGTCTTCTGAAAATATGTCAAAAGAATAGTATATATATAGTATAGTATATATAAATAGCATTTACAAACAAAACTTTTTAAATATTCGACAAGTTTTCGTTAATATTTTGTGTACCTTCGCGCCACTATGCAGCTTAAAGATCAGCTTAGCATAAGTACTTCTCTATACAGTCAGAGACCCGCATATTTACTTCTATTAGTGTGCATGTATATGCATGTGTGTGTGTGTGTGGTTAGCCGCTTGGTTGGGCTCACAAAAATAAAACCATTGCTGGGGATAGGTACAATGTACACACAAATAAGGAAGCAATTTGCCATGGCTCTGGGCTGGCGCGAGTAGGAAACGAAATCTAAGCCATAGATGCGAACAAATTATGCGAGACGCCAACGCCGACGTCGCAACTGGGCAAACGTGAACGCAATTATAAACGAAAGACTTAAGCAACAAACTCACAGCTCGCTGTTAAGAATTTTTTTTTTTTTTTGGGGCGCATTCATTTATTATGTTCCCGCCTGCCACATACCACGGCGCAGTCGCTCGTATCAAAATGGCAAACGCAGATTAACTGTATTTCGTACACCAACGCAGGTTGCCACAAAAGTTGTCATGCAAACGAATGAAAACGAAACTGAAGTGGCGCATGTCAAGGACATAGACGTGGGCAAAGGTGAGCGCCAAAGCCAGCGCGCTGCATTCATTTGCATAACAAGCGACATGGCTAACGGTCAAAATGCCTAAGCAAACAATTGTGCAAATTGCGTCAAGATTCAGATTTGAGCGACTCGAGCACTGGAGCAAGGCAGCAGGGCCCATCAAGAGGTGCGGCTCACTCACCCAGTCACCGAGCCACTCCGTCAGTCAGTCAGTCAGTCAGTCAGTCAGTCACTCAGCCTGTTCGTTATTACAATAGCAGCTGCATGTTGCATGCCACTGCGCTGCTCTTCATATTTGCGGCTTTGTTCCTCCGTCTTGCTGTACTAATCGCAATTTACTGCTGTTTCTGACTGACTTCGTTTTGCATTTGTAAACTACATGAAGTTTTGCGTAAATATTTGCCATTTTTATCGATGATGCCCCATTGTTCGTAGCTCACAGAATAATAAGAAGAGAAACACAACGACCGAGGGCACAGGCCGGAGCACGGCCTGCCAGTGGGCAAATGCTTAGCCAGTTACATCACAGATTCGCAGCGCATCGTCAGCCGAAGACAAAGCCTAATGAACTTCCGTTTTGTCAATGATTTTCTGTGTCAGCTGCCAATTAATGCTTACGACTGAGAACTGGGCAAAGCACACACATAAAACAGAAGACAAACATAAAACTGCCAGGCAGCTTTTGAAGTCAAAGACAATGCAAAGACGGGCCACGCGGCAATTAAAAGTTACGTGAGCCCAGGCAGAAAGAAGACAATGATTGGATAGTTGGATAAGGCTTTTATTACGGAATAATTGGGTTAGGCGTGAAAATGCGTACCAGCTCCACACAATAGATGCATATTAAGTTGTAAGATAAGAAATTTATATCTCAGCAAAGAATCAACATCAGAAACTATTGGCTTCGTTCATTTTGACTGTTGGCTTGCTGAATGTGTGTCACAGATGCAAGCTAAGTAATGCAGACTAAGTCGATACAACTTTATCTCTATATTTATATAACTCTGTATCTCTCTCTGTCTGTCTTTCTATCTCTGTATCTCCCTATCTCTATATCGCTTTGCCTCCATTTAGCTATCTATCTCTATACCTCCATTTCTACATCTATATCTACATCTCTGTATCTCTATTTCGCTAAATCTATATATCTCTATATATCCATCTCTCTTTTACTGTGTCTCTCTGTCTCTCTGCTTCTCTCTGTCTCCATCTTTTCTTATCTATGTCTCAGACCATATTCTCCATCTGCGCCTCAGTCTTTTTCTCTCGCTATATCTGTCTCTCTCTCTCTCTCTCGCTCTCTCTATCTATCTCTCACTCTCTCCTTCCCGCTCTACCCACTTCTATCTCTCTACCACTCGCAGAGACTCTTTGTATTATTAATATACATATTTCATTCTCACTATCTATGCTCGGTTTTAATGGATAATTGTAGAACTGTTACCAGTCGACAGCTCGCGTATTCAATGATAAAGTTGTTCAGCTAACAAGAACAACAAGCAACAAAAAAAAAAACTAACAAGATACTTTATAATCAATTCATTTGTGTGCATATCACAGCCGAGTGCCAACTACTGAAAACCCATGAATAATTCCCCAAGTACGAAATTCGTATTTGAATTTGAATTTGAAATCGAATTAAGTGCAGCATTTGCATACATTAAATGAGCGAATGATGGACATTAACATGGGCTGGTGCCGCTGGCAACTTAATTATAGATTTTATAGCCGGCCAGCCAAATGGGCAGCAAGAACTCGGCTGCTAAGTTCGAACGCCTACGCAGTTAGTGGAACGGAGAATTGCATTTGGAAAATGTGTCGCCCACGGAATTTGGCGGGGATCGGGCCATTGAGATGTGCCCGTATGAGCGAACAGCAGGTCAACCACAAAAAATAACCAAAATCAAGTTCTTCTCAATTACATGCGATGTCTCGAATCTTTGGGGCATTCGGCTCTCAAGTGCAGCACTTGACAACGCGATTAACTCGCTCGACTGTTGACTGTTGTGGCTTTGACTGCGACTGGCTCTGGCTGTGGCTGTGGCTGACTGTGGCAGTGGCAATCTGCCCTCCTGCCCGTCACATTGCAGTGATTGTTGTTTTAATTAACGAGCTCGGCTGAAAAATCAATTGGTTCGCTCAGTCGCATTCGCAGTCAAGATCTTTCTTGAGCCATGCTGCCCCACTTGAGCATTGGATTTCATCTCTACAGCATGCCATGTGGAAGACATTGAATTGCTATTGCTGCTCCAAATGTTTAATACACTTGCAATAAGTATTTGCTTTATGACTGCCGTTTGTTTTGGCTTCTTTATTAGCACAAATGAGCTCGCATTTGCTATTCGTGTAGTTACTTCATAAAGCCAAACATTCTCATAAACATGCCAAGCCAACAGCAAGCCAAGCAGTTGCCGTCACCGACACTGCCAGCCCCGCCCCCTACCGCACCGCAAATGAGCTGGTAGCAAGGTTAGACAACTATGTACATACTTATTTGATTGAATGTAAACAGATCAAAAGATATGCGTACTTGAGCCAGGTTGGGATGAATACAAATTCAAATGCCGCAGCCGAAACGTCGACTAGTCAAGCGCCGCGAAGGAGCGCTCCGTGGCCAAAGATCAGAATGATTCAACAGTAAATAGTAAATGGTAAATTGTTAAAAGTTAATATTTAATAGTAGATTTTATGAAAAGAGCCGATAGTTCCTATGCCACGTCCTTAGTGCTCCATCAAGAATTGAAAAATGATTTATCTACAGGTGAATTTAGAGTCTTGTACCGAAATGAATTCGCTTGAATCAGAATAGAGCGTTGTCCACAATGTTCAATGCAAATAACTGTGCCGGATGCCGATTGCCATAACGTGAGCATCGTCCATACGTGTCATACCATTTGGCGGCCATGTATTCTACGAGAAGCGCATACACTTGGCCTTCTGGGTGTATGTGACGGCGCCATATTCCTCGACAATTTGATCGATAGCTATCTTGTTCAGATTCTCCAGATACAGGCGCGTCTTGCGTGATTGTATTATGTAGCTGATGACGTCGTGCATGTTGCTGAAGAAAAGGAAGCCGGCGGTGCCGCAGCTAAGGTCCAGATAACGGAATCGATTTACGTCGCAAGTGCAGCCATCATAGAGGAAGTAGATGAAATCGTTGTTGTTGTGGAACCGGAATACTACATAATTGCCCCAGGGCGCCATGACAAAGACGCGTTCCGCACAGCGAAATCCGGCGCGCAGCAGCTTACAGATGCTATCGTAGCATCCATTCTCGGAGCCAACAACGGCCATCGTTTCCGGTATACGCAACAAAGCCGGGTAATGATTGGGCTGTGCGCGGAGCACATCATGAGGACCGGTTGACTCGGGACATGGATCCAATGGCTGTATCAGTTTTGGTGGCTCGGGACATGGTGGACACTCTTGGACTATGGCTTGCGGTAGAGCTACAATAGTTGGCTTCTTCTTTTTGCCTTTCCCTTTCCCTTTGCCTTTTCCTTTACCCTTGCCTCTACCCATCCTACACGATTATCGCAAAAACTATATCTAGAACGTGACCTGCAACGATATCGTCCTTCCCATAATGTCCGGCAACAGTACTCAAAAATAAAGTTATAATATCTATTGGGAATAAGTTAGAAATTTGCATTCCAGCTGCTCCCGCTTTTGCTTACCTGGAACTAGAACTTGAACGCAACGAAACTCTGCGAAACTTATTTAATTTGATTTATTTTTTATGACTATTTTTTTTTTTGTAGTTTTAACTGGAGACCAAACCAAATTTTTTCGAGAAAATTTATTTTTCTCCTCTTTTTTTCCGAGATTTAGATTTTGCTTGTACACATGTACAACCAGTTTTGATTCTGAAATAATGAGAACTGCCTTTAAGAAGGCTAACCAGGAAAATAATAAGGTTTCCACCGGCTACTACGATGCCCCGAAAACGACTCCAGATTCCAAAGCCAACTATAATCGAATCTTTTCAGCTTTTGCTTCATAAATCCCAATAGCACAAAAACCTGGCAGGCTTGGAAAATTTAATCAATTTAGTTTCATTTCACGTGGTCAATTTGAATTACCTTTCAGCTCTTCCAATGGAACTTTTCAAATCAACTTCAATTCGATATTATTCAACGCAGCTCGTTAAGCTTGTGCCAACATTCTAATTGATTTAGCCACCTTAGGCAGCCCGATTGTTTACTTTGCGCAGCCGACGCGAGTCGTAAATGGTTGTCGGCGCATCTGACTGCATGTTGAGGTGCAATTTAGTTGCTTGTCAAACTGATAACTCGCACAGTGTGGCAAGCGCATGCAAATGAGCAAATGAGCAAATGACCAAGCACGAAATGCCAATTAATTAAGCTGTTAGCCAAGGAACTGCGTCGGACTCAGCTGCTGGCCGACAAATTCTTGGGAAATCGAACGTGAAGCACGATTGCAAAAGGATCCTCTAGCTGGCGGCAACAGCAACAGCAACAACAACTGGCAACTGACACGCTAGTGACATCAAACACCTCACACACAGCGTCTGTGGGCAAATGCAAAAGTGAATGGCTGCCAAAGCAATTAAAAGCTGCTGGCGTTAAAGACCCTTCCCGCGGACCCAAACAAAAAAACTTCGAAAAAGCATAAAAATAATTAAAATCACTTGCAGCAGGAATGCCTGACTAGAAAGAATGGCAGCTGTGTGATGAACAGTCGCAGATGAAATACTCTAGAGATATTTACTCGAAATTAATCTCGGCTCAAATTGGGCTTTTGTTGTTAAATATATAAAGTTCAAAGTTTTAATTTTTTTTTTAATTTTATTGAGTTATTAAAGGAAGGTCTCACCTATCTTTACTCAACATAGGCCAACAATTGAAAGCTCAAGTGAGTTTCACAAGATTGGGCATGTCCACATGTCAGCTCGTTACATATTTCAAACAGTAATTTTATTAGCCACTGAAAGAGTATACAAATAAGCCGAGAACCTGTTGCATGGGCTCGCTGGTAACTACAATATGAAATATTGAACATGCAAATCTGCGCACAATGGCGAAAAATTATTTATTCAATTACCCATTCGCAATTACCGAACAGCTGCTTGACGCCGCCGCCGCACAGTGGCGCGAAAGCTATTCGTAGGTAACTATGATGCAATGAATGTGGCAAAGAAAATAATTAGTATGAAAATTTCGCTTATATTTTAACTTTATTTTTATTATTAAAATTATTAACATTATCATTATAAAAATTGTCAATATAAAATTATTTGCATATGCATTTTCAACTGCCTTTCGTAATATGTAAAACTTCCTCGACTTGGTTATAGCTTTAACTTATTGCCACGAAATATTGCAGCTACATGGCCCGCTGTTTATTTGGCCTTAACCATATTTCTGTGTCTGACATAACTGCTAAAAATATTGGCTCTCCTTAGAGTTTTAGTGGCAGCCATTTCAGGTTTTCAATTGCCGCCTGCCCACTGTGCAGGGGCAAGTGCCTGGCTGGAAATAAGTTGGAGCAAGCTCAACTGGGCGCCAATCCAAGTCCCAATCCCACATCCAATCGCTGACTAAGCCCGAAAACGTGCCTCTAACTGGGTCTGCAACTCGTCTAGACGAATCGGCATTTGCTAGCGGCGGCTCTAAGCTGCCGGCGTTAATGTTTTTATGACTGTCCGATTTCGTTTTGGTCATTTCTTATGCACAATTTGCAGCATTAATTTGTTGAATCAAATATTGCCGCAGGAGGCGAGTGGCTGTTGGCGAGTAGCGACTGCCTGGCGACAGTTAACCATGGTCAGCTGGTAGCTCGCAGTCGTTTTATGGATAAGCGCATCTTGCTTGCCACCGGAAAAGTCACTGCAACATGCCACATACGAGCTAGGAGTAACTGGCTACTCAGCTTGCCTCACAACCTGCAAATCTAACCACAAGCAGCTCGTATTGCAGCATCGGGCTTACAGCTAGGCAGACATGTGCAAATATTGTCTAAGCAGCCATGTAGATGCCATCATCATACCGCTGCAGCCAGCCATTGGTGTCGTGGCGCCGTTGTGGCATCTTCTGCTGCTTGCAACCGACACCGTGCATCGCACGGAAAGCAGAAAGCTGAAAGCCGCAGCAGCTGCAATGACAATGCAGCCAGATTTCGCTAGATTTTTCGCTTCCGCAAGGGCCCCCAACTTATGGGGACTCGGCTGCAGCACAGGTCGCTTGGGGTCTTCTCTCTGTCAGTCGACGTCGGCTTGACTTGTTCAACTTCAACTTTATTGCTTCATCTTCAACTTGATGCTGCCAGTTGCACAGAGCTTAGCTAATAGGCCAGCATCAGACGCCGCCTCGCTCAAGCCATGAATCTCTTTATTTTGCGGTCACCATGTTTATTTTTCTATAGCTGAAGCGGCACTTGCATATGAGTAGGACTCCAACTCCCCACATTTCTCTCTAAATATGCGACTCCCAGCCTCATTATGTAAGCGCTCGCTGTTGCAGTCGCCATCGCCGTCGCAGTTGCCGCTCTTAAATCCAGGTCATTGCAATGTGGGAGTCAAAGTGTATACATATCATATTTCCCTTTGAATGCTGCAGAGAATCGATACGTCTATTTGGATAAGTGTTTATCCGTATTGACTAATTGATCAATAAACAAGAAATATAAATTGCAGTGTAAACATATAAACATATGCAGCTTTTGTTAAAACAACAAGGAGTGACCGACTATAAAATACCCCGAACGCTGTTTCAACCAGTCTAAGCTTCGTGTATGCATACGGCTTTTATGCTTGTCTAGAAAGCCCAATCCTCTTCTATCTAAAATAATTTATTTTTGGGTGAAAAGGCAAAATCGAATATAAATAATCTGCGTATTCATGACAAGAACCAACATAGAGTCTATAGCTTTATGGCTTAAAAGTCAAGTCAAATCAGAAATGTTTATTAATTACAAGCAAATTCGAAAAATATTAAACTGAGTTCAATATATATTTTAAATATTTAGTGTTTGTCTGCGCCTAAATGGACATACGGATGGACAGCCACACATGGCCGGATCGTCAACTTCAACAAAAATATCTATCTGCCACGCCTTCTACTGTCTGTGATTCAAGTTTTAAATAAGTTGAGAGCATAAAGAAGCACTTCTAGTTGAAATTTAAAAATTTAAGTGAGTCTTAAGGCATAAGTGTTGCCTTAGTTATATATAATATAAAAAAAAAAAAAACAAGTTTTATTTATCTTTGATCAAACTCAAATTCTACTTTACACAGCTGAGCAAATTCCCTCGTTCTGACTTTCTCTCTCTCTCTCTCCTACTCACTCTTTCACTACTTTGACTTGATTGTTGTCTTCGCTTAGCTTTCAGCAGATTTTCGCACATTTTGCAGCTTAAAGCATTTTGAACAAAGCTTTAAAGCTGATGCTGAATAAGTTAATGTTGAGCTTTTCGCAGGGGAAACTGCAATGTGTTTATGTTTGTGTATACATATACACAATTTTGAATGTGTGTGTGTGTGTATACTTCTGTCCTCGTCTCTCTCAGGCTCTCTCTCTCTCTCTTTATCTTTCTCGCTCTCTGCTCTATTCGGGCCTCTCTTTCTTTTGATATATCTCGGTCTCACTCTGCTTACATATTCATTGTCCACGACTCGTTGAACTTGTTTAAATTGCTGCGATAAGAGCATTCGCACTGCCGCAACCAAAAACAGTTGCTCCCATTGGCAAGCGAAGATGATGGAAATGTGCAGCTGAACGAAGGGGGCACAGGGTGCCGGATGAGAAACACTTTAAGAGCTGCTCATGCCCATCATTGCGGCGACACATTGCCAAATAGTTGCAACAAACTGGAGCAGCCAGCTAGCCAGCCAGGCAGCCAGGCAGTCAGTCAGCGCCGTGGAGTCTGTGCCATGCCGCAAATATAGAAACGGAGTCATTGGGTCAGGACAGCGCGAAAGCGAACGCTGCGAAGGACACAGCCCATTCGAGTGCTCGCGACCCACTGGCAGCAAAAAAGGAAAATAAGAAATAAAAAATAAATAAAATAAAAATAATAATATGGCAAGCGCTGGCGCCAACATTTATATTGCAACCATTGAGTGGGCAGCATAGTGGGCGGGCAGGGCGACAGGGCAGCGAACCTGGACAGGTGAGCGAGCGGGCATATTTTGTTAGCCAGGAGATGCTCGAATGCTGCAGGTAGAAAAATATGCGAAATGCAAAACGCGCTTGCACGCAAATCAAACATCCGAACTGATGGGGGTCTGTGTTTTTGGTTTTTTTGGCTTTTTGGTTTTTGGACAGGCAGAACTGGATGCCATATTAAAAAAGTTTCAAGTGGTCGACGGGGGAGATGGCCAAAAGTATAGAAGGTAGCTAAGCCGCTTGCTCGCCATACGCACGACTCTCGCCTTAAGCACGCCTAATCCTAATCCCAATTCAAACGCCACCCGCACCAAATTGTATCTTTAAGTTCGCATCGCATAGCGTTGTATTTGTATCTGTGTATCTTGCGGTGCGTGTGGGTGTGCGTCTTTATGTGAATGTTGTTGTTGTACGTTTTTTTGGGTCTCGCCGTTTTACGAGTTTCCTGTTCAATGAAGTTGCACGTGGATGGCTAAAGAATTGTTTGTTATCGTTACGCAGCATCAGCTCTACATACATAATGTAGGGCCTGCATTCGGCCAGTGCCGCTGCCTAGCATGCCAGACCCTAGCCGTGCCCGACCCCAGCCGGTTGAAGTTGGAGAAATGTAAGCATCTGCTAATGGAAAATATACATAAGTCTATATGGCAGAGGGCATTTGCCAAGCACAGCACTCTGCCCCCGACCTTGGCCAGGTCAGCAGAATTTAAC